TTGGATGGCAGTTTTTTTTCTCTTAGTACTTGGGCTATATCACACCATTCTCTCTTAGTCTGCAGGGTTTCTGATGAGAAGGCTGCTGTGAATCTAATTGGAGATCCTCTGAAAGTAATCTGGTGTTTCTCTCTTGCACATTTTAGAATCTTCTCTTTATGTTTTACTGTGGTGAGTTTAATTACAATGTGTCATGGGTGAGGATCTTCTCTGGTCAAGTCTATTGGGAGTTCTGTGTGCTTCCTGTCCTGAGGTCTCTTTCTTTCCCCAAATTGGGGAAGTTTTCTGCTAGTATCTCACTAAAAAGGTCTTCTAGTTCTTTTCTCTCACCATGCCTTCAGGGTCTCCTAGAACCTGAATGTTGGGGTTTTTAATAGTATCCTGTAGATTCCCAACAATATGTTTTTAGATTTCTAACTTTCTCTTCTTGTTTTTGGTCTGACTATATACTTTGCTGTGTTCTGTCTTCTAAGTCCGATATTCTCTCTTCTGCCTCACTGATTCTGTTTTTAAGGCTCTCAATTGCATTTTTATTTGTTCTATTGAATTTTTCATTTCATTTTGATTTCTCTTCAATCTCTCCATTTCATGTTCTATTGAATTCTTCATTTTATTTTTTTCTGGCTTAAGATTTCAGTTTCATGTGAGAGATTTTCTTCCATGTCCTGTATGGATTTCAGTAGTTTGTATGTTTGATTTTGATTACTTCTATGTAATCTTATGATCAATTTTTGCGTTCCATTTCTTGCATTTCTTCTATCTCATTGTCTTCATAATCTAGGATTGAAGTGTTGTGTCCTTTTGGGAATGTATTGCTGTCTTTCTTATTTTTGTTTCTTAGATTGTTGCATTTGTTGTTCAGAATTTGTGAAAATATTCATTGGTTTCTTCTTTTGTTTTATCTGCTGTGGCAGCTTTTATTGTTGTACTATGACTCTGGAGATAAGTGGACTGTCTGCTTTCAGTGAATCTCTAGAGGCTTATAGAGGGTGTGGCCAGAGAGCTCTGTTCAGTTCTCCAGGGTTAAGGGAATGCCTAAGGTGACACACCCAGGTTTGCTGTTGTAAATCTTTTCTCTTTTTTGAATCAGAAGGGATGTATATTCTGCTCAGCTGAGCTCTTCTTGATGGAGACCAGTGCCTGAGCACTAGCCCTCATTGGTATAATATTTGTCTGCTCTGTCCCAAGGACCACACAAAGCATCCATGCAGTTCTCAGTGTAAGTTCCAATTCCCCAGCACTGTCTCTCACCAGGTAGCCAGGACCACCAGAGCTTGTGGCATCTCCCACTGAGACTCTCAAAGTACAACTCACACTGTGAGCCCTCCCACACACCCTGTTTTTTTTCCACAGTCCCAGTTCAGAAGCTTCACACAGTCACAGGCTCCTAGCTGCCTGTTATTTCCCCCACCAGAGTCAGGAGTCTCCACTTGGCTGATTGCTGGGAGCAGACACTAGCTGGCGCAGCTGGTATGTATTTCCAAAATGGCACCTGCTCTATTGGTTTGTATGCTTTTGTAAGGTGATTGGAGAGAGGGAACTGTGTCCATACCGTTATTTATTTTTTTCTCTCATCTAGTTTGGCTGGTACACTTTCCCCCATGGGGCTTCAAGCCTCATTCCCTTTAAGCTCTCTTTGCTGCTTTTTCAACAGTGGCCAAGGCTACTGTGGTCCTGTCTCACCTCACTTTCCAGTGCTGGTGTGTAGGCTCTCATCTGTTGGAGTGCTGAGTCATGGGTGACCACACCCTCCAGATATATCTACCATGTCCCTCTAATTGTGGCAGAGTTTCCTCTGCCATTTTTCCCCCTAACTCTTCCCTGAGACTACATTATCTCCACATTTTTAAAACTATCTTCTCAGACTAGAGCAGTTAGCTCCCTCCATACTCTGCCCCAATCCATTTGATGCTTCTTATTAGGAAGGCAAATACTAGGGGGTTGGTACTGTGGCTTACCAGGTAAAACCACTGCCTGCAGTGCCGGCATCCCATGTGGATGCCAATTTGATTTCCAGCTGCCCCACTTCTGATCCAGCTCTCTGCTAATGCATGGGAAAGCAGCCAAAGATGGCCCAAACTCTTGGGCCCCTGCATCCATGTGGGAGACCAGGAAGAAGTTCCTGGCTCCTGGCTTCAGATCAGTTCACCTTGGGCCATTGAGGCCATTTAATGAGTGAACCAGTAAATGGAAGATCTCTCTCTCTCTCTTCTCCCTCTAAGTCCCCCTCTCTCTTTCTCTTGGTCTCTCTCTCATTCTCTCTGTAACTCTGCTCTTCAAATACATACATACATACATACATAAAGTTTTAAGTGCAAATACTCTGTGATGCACAGAAAGGAAAGGAGGGAGAGACATAATTCCTCTGCACGGTGTTTATGAGAGTTGGAGAACTGGGACATCAATGCATGAATGTATAGGTCAGTTGGGGTCCTGTTGTCAATGCACCCCTATCTGGGATCAGGGTCCTTAGTGCTCCTTCTTCCTGTGCCCACTGCCTCCTGGAAGCACTCTTGAATGTTCTGTGTACTTCCAGTTGCTTCACAAAAGACTCCTCATGGGACTACCATGAGTGACAGGGAGAAATGAGTCCCCCACCACCTCGAAGTCCCTCAGCAATGGTAACTACTGCTTCTCCTTTCTGAAATCTGCACAAAGCTTCCTGGGGTGCTGCACACACACAGATGGCTTCTCCATCTCTGCAGGGTGCTCAGCAGGAAAGATTGCCCCCTGCTACAACCAACTACAGTCCATTGCGATCAGAGAAGACGCATGGTATGATTTTTTAATTTTCTGAGACTTGCTTTATAACCAAACATGCAAATATATTTTAGAGGAAGTTCCACACACTGATGGGAAGAATTTGTATTGTGCAACTGTGGATTGAACAGTTCTGTAGATATCAATTAGGTCCAAGTGGAACATAGTGTCAATTAGCACTGTTGGTTTTGTTGATTTTATCTAGTTGATCTGTGCATTGATTATAGACAAGTATTAAAATCATACATTCATACTGTATTCAAGTCTATGTTTATTAATATTCATTCATATTTAAGTAGCTGATACACCCTGTACTTGGGTACATGTTTATTATAGTCATATATTAATGTTGAATTGATTCTTTAATCATTATATAGTGCCTTTCTTTCTCACTTTTAATAGTTTTTGTGTTAAAGTCTATTTTTCCAGTATTAGGATGGCAACCCCTGTGCTTTTTTGCCTTGTTAGCATGGAATATACTTTTCTTCCTTTTACTTTTTGTCTGTGTGTATCTTTGTTGGTGAGGTATGTTTCCTGTAGGCAGCAAGTAGATAGGTATTATTTTTTAATCCATTCAGCCAATGTGTATCTTAACTGGAGAGCTAGCACCATTTAAATTCATGGTTACTATTGATAAATAATGACTTGCCCCTACTATTTTTCCATAAATATTCCTATTGTTTACATTGCATTTCCTTTGTTTTTATTGGCAGATTTTCTGCCTTCACATTCTTGCCTAACAATAACTATCTTTCTTTGTTCCTATGTGTAACACATAATTAAGCATCTTTTGCAAGACTTTTGTAGGCATCTTTTGTAAGATGAGTGGTGACAAATTCTTTTAATCTCTGTTATGGAAGGTGTTTATTTCACCTTCATTCAAAATGAGAGCTTTGCAGGGTACAGTATTCTGAGCTGAGTTTTTTTTTTTCTCTTAAGTCTTGGACTATTTTCTCCTAGTCTGTATAATTTTCCATGTGACTATCTTTTTCATACCTTTCTTCAATGCCTTTTTCCCCTCAGTCTAGTTACAAACATGTTACCACATTCTAAAAGATCTTTTTCTTTATGCTCTCACCATTGATTACTTCCCAAATTTTCATTGTGTTGCAAAAGATAGGATTTCAGTCTTTTTTATGGCTGTATTATTCTGTAATGTATATCTATCACATTTCATTTATCCAGTTATTGGTTGATGGACATCTGCATTGATTCCATATCTTAGCTATTGCTAATTTAGCTTCTATAAACCTGGGGCATCACACCCCTTTCATTGGCTGATTTCATTCCCTTTGAGTAAACTCCCAGGAGTAGGATGGCTTGTTCATTGGTATATCTATTTCCAGATTTCTGAGGATTGTCTGTACACTCTGTGATAATAGTTATACCTATTTACATTGCCAACAACAGTTTATTAATGTATGTTTTTTCTCCCATCCTCACTGCATTTTTAAAAATTTTTGAGTTATAGCCACTCTAACTAGCTTGAGGTAAAACCTCATTGTGGTTTTTATTTGCATTTCTCTGGTGGCTAGGTGATCCTGGGTATTTTTCCCCAAGTTTGGGGGCTGACATTCTGGCATAATGCGTTAGGCTGCTGCCTGCAAGACCAGAATCCCATATGGGCACCAGTTCAAGTAGCAGCTGTACCACTTTCAATCCTGCTCCCTGCTACCATGCCTGGGAAAAGCTCAAAAGATGGCCCAAGTTATTGGGTACTTGTGCCCATGGGGGAGATCCAGAAGAAGCTCCTGGATCCTTGGTTTGTCCTTGTCCAGCTCTAGACATTGGAGTCATTTGGGGATTGAACCAGTGGATGGAAGACCTCCCTATCTGCATCTATCCTTCTCTCTCTCTGTAACTCAGCCTTTCAAATAAATCTTTAAAAAAACCAAAAAATAAAAACACCCATGTTTGTTCTGTTCTCATTCTGCCATCACTTTCCCAGCCAACCGAGTCTGCAGTGGTTTTCTATCACCCATGAATCTCATTATGTTTCTATGTTTCCTAAAGAGCCAAGACCTTGCAGGCATAGCCTGCATGTTATCTGGGTGCAGGCAGTGTACTGGGCAGCATAGCACTGTTAGGACCACTGCCTTTACAACCATAGTTGTGGACAACTCCACATCCCAGCTTGGGTTATTTCTTATAAAATTCAAGTTCTTTCCACATTCTCAAAGTGGTTGTTACTAAAATCTCATTCCTTGTTCCCAGAGCTGATTGAAAATAAAAAGCACAAGTTTAAGCATAAAAGAAATAGACAATTTAATCTATTGAAGATGAGGGGGTAGCATACTTCTGTCCCAGGATTTGGCACCCTGCTGAAAGAGGATGATTTGGGGATTTTAAAGGAGGCTACAAGGAAGGAGGAATCAGGAATAGGGGATCAAAGAATATGGATAACTGCATGTGAAGTGAACCATGATGGATTCTGGCCCAGTTTATCTTTGCACAGCTTTATCTTGCAGGTGCCTCCTCATTCCACAATGATGACACACTAGCATTCCTCTCCCTGTAATGAAAACCAGAAAGATTATTTTTCCACCAGAATTGTTCAGTCCCATAGCAGGAGGAGAGCCATAGATTAAAACATATAACCAACCTGAGTGTGTTTATCTTGGTGAGCTAAGGAGATAGTTGCGGAATTATCAACGATGTCTACACAGTATTCTGTTTGAGGGGAGGCATGTTTTCCCCCTAGGCAGCTGTAGCTTTAGAGAACTACTTGCCTCAGTAGGAAACTTCTGTTATTTAATAAGCACAGTCCTCTGGCTCTGTCATTTATGACACTTTGAATACAATTGGCCAAGGCTTCAATGTGCCAAATTCAGTCCCCATTCCTAACTGTGGGACAGAGATAATAAGATCCTACCAGTGGAAGACGTAACTGTGAGGCAAGTTTGGGAAACTAGCAGACTTCTGTATGTTTTTCTATTTTATTTGAATAAAAAGGAGGCCCAAGTACATAATCGCTAACCCAGAAACAGCCAAGGCCATCAATATTCCCCTTTCAATGCTGTGGATATTTATTCTTGTGCTTCCTCTAAGCTGCAAGGGATGGGAGAGTGCTTTGAGCTCAGCTTTCTGGGCTAAGATACCTTGTGGCAGTGCTATTGATTCTGAAGTTTCTGGGAGAGTTACTACTTCATATCCAACCCTTGATTTTCCTGTCCTGTGAAGCTGTTTTGATACACAAAGAGTTCCCGATCTGTAACCTGTAAGGGGATATCAGGTCAGATCCAGCCTAATCAGACGTATCTGTTACATGACCTATAATCAGTCACATAGTTTCCCCAGGGGAGTCTGAGGGCAAGGTGGATGGATTAAAATATGATTCAGTTTTACAGGACCACTTCAGTTGTCAAATAGTACAGGTTAATTTTTACCATAGGGCATGAGGTAAGCCAGTAAGATCCTTGTTGTTACAGAAGCAGCAGCACATAGTAAGCTGTATGCACTGTGGTGAGATGACCAAAACTGAGCTCTCTGTCTCCTGCAGTACTTCACAAGTGACTGTTATTCTCAGACACCACAGCCAGTCTTTGGTTGAATGTCCACATTTTTGAAATGTATACCATTGGTCATTTTATTTTCCCCAAATTTTGAGTCATTCCTTCCAGTCCTAATCCTTGCTTCTCATGTACAAAGAGGTCAAAGCCCTTTCTCAACACCTCCCTGTGTGTGCTGTAGGTGCTGTCTATAGAATCTAGCACTACATGTGAGGATGGCAAGTATCACTTCTAGTTAGCATCTCTCTTTTGAAATTGGGGTACTCTTTAATGGGTATAGTTCTATCAGAGTCTTTTGTGACAGTTTCTACCAGGCAACCACACATAATGACCCTCCCTTAAAAATCTCTTGGTGTTAACCTAATTTTGCTTAGGATTAAAACCCGTGATTCCATCTTGATATTTATTTCCTCTTTGTGATCATGATCTTTTGGGGGTCACAACACTGATCAGCCATCCTGCAGCTAAACTTTACTTATCCCTCATTGCCCAGTTAGATTTGACCCAGCTATTCATCTGGTGCCATGTTGGAAGGGAAGTCATGACCAGGAGGCATTTTCAAAGAACAATTTTGTCCCAATTTGAGCAACAGAGAGGTGAAACAAGTGGCTCTCAAACTAAATTTACCTGGAGTCCATTGTTAAACTTAGTTTTGTTTATTCTGTAGGTTCCAATCATCATCTCAAAGTGCCAGGCATTATCCTGCTGAGAATTGTACTTCTGTAGACTTCTTACAGGCAGTAGGCACACAACTCAAATAGGAAAACACCAAGTGCAAGATAAATCAGGTTGACATCTTAAAAATAATGAATAGGGATACAAATAGTAGACATGATAACTGACAATTCGTGTAAGTACAGCATGAAAGGTTGAGTATCCATGTTAGTCTCAGACCCAGAAAACTCTCCAAGTTAGCAGTCGAAAAACAATGAACAGAGTTACAGTCTAAAGCAGGTATGTTATAGTTTGTTGATTGGCTATTTGCTTTAAATACAGTAACTAAATTTCCTTTGACATATAATCTCACACTTGGAAAATTCTCCAAATTAAAAGGCAAATCTATGACAAACCTAGATTTTTTTTAAAAACTACAGTGTCTAGTATTTTGAAATTTTTGGATCTGCTAAAATATGAGAAGTCCATTTACTCACTGCAAGACTGAAAACCCTACAAGCCAGGCATTTTATGCATGATTTAGATATGCCAATGTTTCCAAATATATTCTGTTATGAGAACAGATTCTGATGAATTCATGAAAACAATCACATTGCCCTCCCACATATACCATATTTATAAAAATTTTTGAATGTTAGAGCAATTACATGGAGGGAGTGGAAAATAAACACTTCTTCTCTGGTTACAGAACACCCCTTTACCAAAATACAGTAAACCACTGAAATCACGGAACAGTTTTCCTGAACCTAGAAGGTGAAACATTGAAATATTAGAACCAACAACACTTTAAATGAAAGATGGAAATCCCCAGATGTCATTAATTCATTTAGTCTGATTAATTTTTGTCCTGTTTTACATTAGACACTTTCTAGGTGTTCCAGGATTTTCCCCCCAAGTTTTGGACATTCTTACCTATTCCGTTGATTTTAAAGCAGTCAGAAATCTGTATTTAAGAACATTGCTTAGGGTTTTAGGAAGAATCAGAATTGTTGATACAATGTCTCAGAACATATATGACAGGTTTATGAAACTGTCCCTATTCAATCTCTGGGCCAGTGATGGGAAGGAGTCCCTCAAAGTAACTGTTCAAAATAAGGACACTTTTCATTGTGAAATAATATCCAACCACTTAGAGTGAGTTAATCAGTTATAGACCTGATGTAGTCATACTTACAGTGATCACCAAATATTGGAAAATGAGTAAACACCCAAAGCAATCTTCCTTGTTAACACTCAGCTCTTTGTAAACAATGAGAATTCAACAAAGAAAGCAAAGAACACAAGAAATTACCTTAGTGAAACACAAATGGTTTTCTTGGCCAGGTACCAAGGGGTAAAACCACTAGTATAGAATCAAGTTATCCTGTCATCCAGGATTTTAAGATAAACATTTGCTGTCCAGTCATACTAGAGTCAGAACTGGAGAGGAAAAGAGCATACAGAAACTGACCTGAAAGCCAAGGAATAGAGTCCACAATTAAACTACATTCTAGAAGATGGTCAAAACGATGAAAGGAAAACTGATTAAAAGAACCGTGGTACAGCTGGCAGTGATGTGCAGTGGCGCAAGCAGCCCCCTGCAATGCTGGCATCCCATATGAACAGCAGTTCAAGCTCTGTCTGTTACACTTCTGATTCAGCCCCCTGCTAATGGTCCTGAGAAAGAAGCAGCAGATGGCCCATGTACAGTGGCCTCTGCACCCATAAGGGAGAGCCAGCGGAGTTCTAGGGCCTTAGCTTTGGCCTGGCCCAGCCCTGGCCTTTTCAGCCATTTGGGAAAGTGAATCAACAGATGGAAGTTCTCTCTTTCTCTTTTACTCTGTCTTTAACATAAATATTTTTTTTAGAATGAAAAGATAAATTTATTTTGGTGCAAAAGAATTTCAAAATCCACACATGATTTTTCGTGATATGTATCTTCCACGAACTTTTCTGAGGATTCCTTGTATGAGCAGCCCGCAGGTTCTTAGGGTAAAATCAGGTGAGGTATGTGTCACACAGAATTGCTACAAGCAGATAGTTGTCAAATATTACTGCCTTGCCAGACCTGGAAGTAAAAGACACCGTAGGAAAACACAGCACTTGTTTGTCTTAAATGTCTTTGAGCAGGTTTTGCACAGCTTTTGGGATGCTTTGTTTTCTTAATATCAAACAGGAGCACAGCAATACAAGTAGTAGGGCCTCCTAAGAAGCAATACTATTTGTATAGAATTCTCAGCCATTTATTTAGGGAGAGGAGCAAGCAGCATTTAACCTCCAGTTTAGACCTTTATTGGTTTTCAGTGTGACACTTTCTGTTTCTCAGCAGATAGCTCACCAACAAACAAAACACCGTTCTTCTCCACCACGTGTTCCAGATTACATTGCCCAAGAAATCGGATCTGTTGTTAAAATGTTTATTCAATCAAGGTTCAGCTCAGAATTCCTTGGCAACTTTGAGCTCCCTAGCGTCAGCCAAGAAAGTGTTATTAATCTCGCATTAGAGATGATAAAAATGAAGCTCCCTGGGGTTAAAGCCTAAGAAGCAGGCTAAGTTGTTGTGAAAGTTCCACAAGATCATTTAAGTTCAGAACCCAGTACTACTTGACACCACCTACTCAGTGTGCACTCAAGAAACAGCTACTGTTGTCATGGAGAAAGCTGGACTAACCTTCTGAGCCACTGAAGAGGAAGTACTAGTAAAAGCTCCCCTAACATAAATATTTTTAAAACCACAAAAACAAAGATGGAACATAATGTATGAATTTCCCCAGGGCAACAAGTGGCTCTGGCAGCTGCTGGGATTGTCCCTGTTTCTCCCAGAAGGCAAAACCTCAAAAGCAGGGACTGTTAACACCAACTGAAGTGGCCTCTCCCTCCTCCAACAGCTTGAGTGGGTAGACCTTGGTGCACTGCCACAGCCAATTGTTCTATCCATCTATCCATTGGTACCTGGCAGCAACAAGGGTGTCAGCCTATCTGCCACATTTGCCCAAATTTTCCATTTCTGAAAGTTCTTGGTTCCTGTCCCCAGTGCTCAGTCAAAATGCTGATAAGATGTGAGGGTAAGAAAAGATACCGTTCAGTCTATCAGCAGATGAGGGGGTAGAAGACTTCTAAATCCAGAACTACCAATGTGCTGGATAAGGGTGTTTTGAAATTTTTAAAAGGAGGCTGTAAGAAGGTGGGAGTCAGACTATTAGGAGAGTAGAATAGGGACAGCCGTATGTTGTTCTTCAGCCGGGCAATAAGGGGCTGGCTGGAGTCACAGTGGTTATCTCATCTAGGTACAGGCTCAGATCATGCTGAAGTTCCTCACTAGTCAGTAATGCCAAACTCTGCAGACCAGGGTTTGGATGGCCAGTGGGCTTCAATGCTTTTTGCTCTGGGCCTAAAATTCCCCTAAATGAAACTCCTTGAGTCTATTCCAGTCATTAAGGTGCTATCTGATAATAAACTTCCAGGGCTGGCTATAAAAGTCTCTCAATTCAGCGAGTCAATGTAAGGAAGGAAGGCTAGAGACAGGAGTCTGATGGTATATAAAATTCAATACATTATTTAGGGTCTCAGTTTCAGCTGTAATAAAAGAATTAAGCTATGAGAAGATGTGCTGAAACATTAAGGATATACAAATATTGATTTTTAAATTCCTTATGTATCTTTCTGTCCATGTCGCATTTGTAATTGATTACAAATCACACTTGACAGATTTAAGCTTTGTTGGGAAAGAACTTCAAGAGCTATGGCTCTTCTAAATAGATAATAAATAAATCTTCTTTAAAAGAACTTAGAAGCTACATAGATGCCACAGATTAAAATAGGAAGTTAATTAATGTCTCTTCAAGGTCTCATTATTTCCAGACAGGGTATTTTCAGGCTTGTGTGTTTCCTTTAGTATCATACATAAACACACTTCAGTTCAAACTGTAGGAAGTCTAGAAAGCTGGATGAGTTTTAACAATCCACTGATCACTGAGAAAGCACAAAAAGCTGACTGGTGTCAGAGTGAAAGAAACAGACTGTTCTTTTTCCCAATCTGCTGTGGGTAAAGCAAAGAGGTGTTCAGAGCCTCAGACATTTCAGTCCTGAGACCCTTGAGATTCCAGCCACCATTAACATAAGTTTAGATAACAAATCTTTAAAACTCCATGAAGATGATCAAAGATGCATTTCTTAGCCATCCTCGCTTAACTCTAATTCTATTTTCAAACAAATCTACATTTATGCAAAATAAACATCTTATAACATTTAACCTTCACTTGTGGTAAGAATTTAAAAAAACTACTGTGATCAAGGAACTTCCTCCATGTAGCTGAGGTGGACACTTGAGAGTGTGGGGACAGTGGTTTCTGTCTCTTAGTATTCTCAAGTTGTGTTGGCTTCTGCTGAGTGTGAGCATGATCTGTGACTTCCCTCTGATGATTACAGTATGGGAATTGTGAAGAGTTTTGCAGATGTTTTACAATTCCAAAATCATTAATTAAAAAAAGTTAGTACAAAAGTAGGTTATACTGGATTATCCTGTGATTTGAGGTAGTCCTCAAGGTCAAGAACTGGGACTAGCCTCTAGGAATGGACTCAGACAAAATATGAGATTGCAATTGCATGTGACTTTGAGAAAGTAATTTTGTGATGATGTTATATAGCAATAGAACACTAATTCACTAAGACTATCTACAAAAATCAAACAAAACAAAAATCCCAAATACAACATATATATACTATTTCCCTTTGAAATTTCAATGATGCATTAATACCTATAATATTCACTTTTTCTCATTATTGTTCTAGGAGTAGGAGCAGAAAAATAAAATAAAATACCTCCAGGAACTGGTAGGAAACAAACTGTCAATATATAGAACCCTTGGGGGAAAAAAAAGCCCATGGATTTATACTGATAGAAGTAAAAAAATATGTTGAAAATTTGAGAGCTCTTAAAATGCTGCGCTGAGACCATATGCATTAAGGAAGCTTGTCAGTCAGTTCCAAGGTTTCAGAATAGGGAGGAGCTTACTGATCTAGCCCAGATGAAGATGGTTTAATAAAAGTGGTGATAGTGTAGTCTAAGGGAAGAGTTAGGGAAAAAATGGCAGAGGAAACTCTTCTGTAATTAGAGGGACACAGTGGACCTACATGGAGGGCTTGGGCACCCACAGCTTGGAATTCAAATAGCCAAGAGCCTAGGCACCAGCACTGGAAAGTGAGGTGAGATGAGACTGCAGTAGCCTGAGACACTGGCCAACAAGCAGCAGGAAGGGCCTAGAGGGAATGAGGCTTGAAGCCCTGTGGGGGAAAGTACACTAGCCTAACTAGAGGAGATAAAAAATAAAAGGGACAGTACAGACACGTTTCTAATCACCTTACAAAGACATGGAGGCAACAGAGTCAGCGCCATTTTGGACATATGTAACAGCTGTGCCAGCTCTGGGCCGCAACCAGCAATCAGCTGAGTGGGGACTCCAGACTCTGGTAGGGAGAAATAACAGGCAGCTAGGAACTTGTGACTGTGTGATGCTTCTGAACTGGGACTGTGGAAAAAAAACCTGAGGGTGTGTGGGAGAACTCAAGGTGCGGCTGAGACTTTGAGTCTCATTGGCAGATGCTGCAAGCTCAGACAGCTCTGGTTACCCGGGAGAGACATTGCAGGGGAATATGAACTTATACTGAGGACTGAACAGATCCTTTGTGTGGTCCTTGGAAAAGAGCAGATGAATATTATGCCCAATCGTGCTAGCACTCAGGCACTGATTGCCATCGAGGAGAAGAGCTCAGCTGAGCAGAATTGCTTCCCATTTGATTAAAAAATAAAAGGGAGGGAAGATTTACCATGCCAAACCTGAGGGTGTCACCTTAGGCATGCCCTTAATCTTGAAAAACTGAACATTGATCTCTGGCCACACCCACCACAAGCCTCTAGAGATTCAGACATTCCAATTATCTACAAAGTCATTGTAAAACAATAAAAGGCACTGAAGTGGGGGGGAGGGAGAGAAGAAATCAATGAGTATCTCCACAAAGGCCAAACCACAATTGAAACAATCCAAGAAACAAGAATAAGGAAGACAATATGATACTCCCAAAAGAACATGACACTTGGCCAGTGCCATGGCTCACTAGGCTAATCCTCCACCTGCGGCACCGGCACTCCAGGTTCTAGTCCTGGTTGGGGTGCTGGTTCTGTCCTGGATGCTCCTCTTCCAGTCCAGCTCTCTGCTGTGGCCCGGGAAGGCAGTGGAGGATGGCCCAAGTGCTTAGGCCCTGCAACCACATAGGAGAACAGGAGGAAGCACCTGGCTCCTGACTTCGAATTGGCGCAACATGCTGGCCATAGTGGCCATTTGGGGGGTGAACCAATGGAAGGAAGACCGTTCTGTCTCTCTCTCTCTCACTGTCTAACTTTGCCTGTCCAAAAAAAAAAAAAAAAAAAAAGAACATGACACTTCAATACAAGATTATGAAATGAAGTCGATGAGAAAGAAGAAATGCAAGAAATGGAACTCAAAAACTTGATGATAAGAATACTTAGAAGTAATCAAAAACAAATGCATGAACTATTGAAATCCATGCAGGACATGAAAGAAAATCTCTCTCAAGAAAATGAAATCTTTGGAAGAATCAAAATGAAATGAAGAATCCAATAGAACATGGAATTGAGATATTTAAGAGAAATCAAAATGAAATGAAGAATTCAGAAGAACAAATAAAAAATGCAGTTGAGAGCCTTAAAAACAGAATCAGTGAGGCAGAAGAGAGAATATCAGACTTAGAAGACAGAGCACAGCAAAGTATACAGTCAAACCAAAGAAAAGAAGAGGAAATTAGAAATTAAAAAATATTATTGGGAATCTACAGGATACTATTAAAAAACCCAACATTCGGGTTCTGGGACTTCTTGAAGGCATGGAGAGAGAAAAAGGATTAGAAGGCCTTTTTAGTGAGATACTAGTAGAAACCTTCATAAGTTTGGAGAAAGAGACCTCAAGTACAGGAAGTACACAGAATTCCCAATAGATAGGACCAGGACAGATACTCTCCATGACACATTGTAATCAAATTCACCACAGTGAAACATAAATAAAAGATTCTAAAATGTGCAAGAGAGTAATGCCAGATTACCATCAGAGAATCTCCAATTAGACTCACAGCAGACTTCTCATCAGAAACCCTACAGGCTAGGAGGGAATGGCGAGATATAGCCCAAGCACTAAGAGAAAAAACTGCCAGTCCAGAATATTATATCCTGCAAAGCTCTCATTTGTGAATGAAGGTGGAATAAAGACCTTTCATAGCAAACAGAAATTGAAAGAATTTGTCACCACTCGTCCAGCCCTGCAAAAGATGCTTAACATGTGTTACACAAAGAAACACTGTCATCAACACAAAAGAAGGTAAAGGAAAAAAAATCTCTCAGTAAAAGATCACAGGAAGTTCAAATATATATTAGAAATATCTTTGGAAAAATGACAGGGCAAGTCACTACTTACCAACAGTCATAATGAATGTAAATAGCCTCAACTCTCCAGCTAAAATTCGCAGACTGGCTGAATGGATTAAGGAACAAAACCCAGCTACTTGCAGCTTACAAGAAACACATCTTTCCAACAAAGGTGCATACAGACTGAAAGTGAAAGGTTGGCAAAAGATATTCCATGCCAACCAAAACGAAAATGAGCTGGCATGCCCATCTTAATATCAGACAAAATAGACTTTAACAACAAAACTGTTAAAAGAAAACAAAAAGGGACACTATATAATGATTAAGGGATAAATCCAACAGGAAGATGTAACTATTATAAACATTTATGTACATAGTTACAAGGCACCGGGATATTTAATAGATATGTTAAGAGACTGAAAGGAGACTAAGACTCCAATACAGTAGTAGTGGGGGAACTTCAATACTTCACTTTCAGCAAAGGACAGATCAACCAGACAGAAAATCAACAAAGAAACAGTAGATTTAATTGACATATAGATCAAATGGATCTAACAGATATCTATAAAACTTTTCATCCTGCACTTAAAGAATATAAATTCTTCTCAGCAGTACATGGAACCTACTCTAGGACTGACTACATACTAAGCCATAAAGCAAGTCTTAGCAAATTCAAAAGAATCAAAATCATACAGGCGTCTCTCAGACCAGAATGGAATAAAGCTAGAAATCAGCAACTCAGGAATCTCTAGAGCATATGCAAACACATGGAGACTGAACAACATGCTCCTGAATGAACAGTGGGTCATACAGAAATCAAAAGCTTTCTGGAAGTAAATGATAACACAACATATCAAAATTTATGGGATACAACAAAAGCAGTGTTAAGAGGAAAGTTTATATCAATAGGTGCCTACATCAAGAAATTGGAAAGGCCCCAAATAAATGAGCTATCAATGCATCTCGAGGATCTAGAAAAACTGCAGCAAACCAGACCCAAAACTAGTAGAAGAGAAATAATTAAAATTAGAGAGGAAATCAAAAGAATTGAATTCAAAAAAATTACAAAAGATCAGCAAAATGAAGAGCTGTTTTTTTTGAAAAAATAAACAAAATTGACACCCCATTGGCTCAACTAACTAAAAAAAGACCCACATAAATAAAATCAGAGATGAAAAGGGGAATGTAATAACAGACACCACAGAAATAAGGAGTCATCAGAAATTACTACAAAGAGTTGTATGCCAAACAAGCAGGGAAATCTAGCAGAAATGGATAGATTGCTGGACACATACAACCTACCTAAATTGAACTATGAAGACACAGAAAACCTAAACAGACTCATAAGCAAGTCAGAAATTGAATCATTAATAAAGGCCCTCCCTACAAAGAAATGCCAAGGACCAGACGAATTCACTGCTGAATTCTACCAGACATTTAAAGAACTAACTCCAATTGTCCTCAAACTATTTAAAACAATTGAAAGAGAGGGAATCCTCCCAAATTCTTTCTATGACACCAGCGTCACCTTAATTCCTGAACCTGAAAAAGATGCAGGCAAGAGAATTACAGACCAATTTCCCAGATGGATAGAGGCCAAAATCCTCAATAAATTTCTGGCTAATAGAATGCACCAACAAATCAGAAAGATCATCCACCCAGACCAAGTGGGATTGATCCCTGGTATGCAGGGATGGTTCATCGTTTGCAAATCAATCAAGATGATACACCACATTAACCAACTACAGAAGAAAAACCATATGATTATCTCAATAGATGCAGAGAAAGCATCTGATAAAATACAACACCCTTTCATGATGAAAACTCTAAACAAATTGGGTTTAGAAGAAACATTCCACAACACAATCAAGGTAATTTATGAAAAATCCAAGGCTGATATCATATGGGGAAAAGCATTTCCACTGAGATCTGGTACCAGACAGGGATGCCCACTCTCACCATTGCTATTCAATATAGTACTGGAAGTTTTAGCCAGAGCCATTAGGCAATAAAAAAAAAATTAAAGGGATACAAATTGGGAAGGAAGAATTAAAATTATCCCTCTTTGCAGACAATATGATCCTTTATTTAGGGGATCCAAAGAATTCCTCTAAGAGACTATTGGAACTCATAGAAGAGTTTGGCAAAGTAGCAGGATATAAAATCAGTGCACAAAAATCAACATCTTTTCTATATACAGACAATGCCATGGCTGAGAAAGAACTTCTATCTATCTCATTCAAAATAGTGACAATAAAAAAGCAAATACCTTGGAATAAACTTAGCTAAGGATATCAAAGATGTCTATGATGAGAATTACTTTAAAGAAAGAGAAGAGGATACCAAAAAGTGGGGAAATCTTCCATGCTCATGGATTGGAAGAATCAATATAATCAAAATGTCCATTCTTCCTAAAGCAATTTCTAGATTAAATGCAATACCAATCAAAATACCAAAGACCTTCTTCTCAGATCTGGAAAAAATGATGCTGAAATTCACATGGAGGCACAGGAGACCTCGAATAGCCAGAGAATCTTGTACAACAAAAACAGAGCCAGAGGCATCACAATACCAGATTTCAGGACATACTACAGGGCAGTTATAATCAAAACACCATGATACTGATACAGAAACAGATGGCAAGACCAATGGAACAGAGTAAAAATACTAGACATCAATCCAAACATCTACAACCAACTTATATTTGATCAAGCAGCTAAAACCAATTCCTGGAGCAAGGACAGTCTCTTCAACAAATGGTGCTGGGGAAACTGGATTTCCACATGCAGAAGTATGAGGCAAAACCCCTACCTTACTCCTTACACAAAAATTCACTCAACATGGATTAAAGATCAAAACCACAACCTGAAACCATCAAAGTATTAGAGAACATTGGAGAAACTCTGCAAGATATAGGCACAAGCAAAGACTTCTTGGAAAAGACCCCAGAGGCACAGGTAGACAAAGCCAAAATTAACAAATGGGATTACATCAAATTGAGAAGTTTCTATACTGTGAAAGAAAAGGTCATTAAAGTGAACAGGCAATCAACAGAATGTGAGAAAATAATTGCAAGTTATGCAACTAATAAAGAATTAATAACCAGAATCCACAAAGAGATCAAGAAACACCACAACAATGAAACAATCACTCCATTCAAGAGATGGGCCAAGGACCTCAATAGATATTTTTCAAAAGAGGAAATCCAAACAGCCAACAGACAAATGAAAAAATGTTCAAGATCACTAGCAATCAGGGAAATGCAAATCAAAACCACAATGAGGTTTCACCTCACCCCAGATAGAATGGCTTATGTACAGAAATCTACCAACAACAGATGCTGGTGAGGATTTGGGGAAAAAGGGACACTAACCCGCTGTTGGTGGGAATGCAAACTGGTAAAGCCACTACGGAAGTCAGACTGGAGATTCCTCAGAAACCTGAATATAACCCAACCATACAACCCAGCCATCCCACTCCTTGGAATTTACCCAAAGGAAATTAAATTGGCAAATAAAAGAGTTTTCTGCACCTCAATGTTTATTGCAGCACAATTCACAATAGCTAAGACATGGAATCAGCCCAAATGCCCATCAACAGTAGACTGGATAAAGAAATCATTTGATATGTACTCTGTAGAATACTACTCATCGATAAAAGAAATGAAATCCTGTCATTTGCAACAAAATGGAGGAATCTGGAAAACATCATGCTGAGTGAATTAAGCCAGTCCCAAAGGGACAAATATCATGTTCTCCCTGATCTGTGACAACTAACCAAGCACCTACATTGAAAATGGTGGAAGTGAAAACTGACACTATGAGGAACAGTGATTTGATCAGCTCTGTCCTTACTGTCAAGGAAAAACTTACTATTTTATTCTTTTTGTATTTTATTTTTCTACTTAATACCATTGGTCAATCTCTTTATTTAATAAGCAATTATTCTTAGCAGTTAGAATCCAACTGAAAGTTTATCCCTGTTAAAAATAAGAGTGGCAATAAGAGAGGGAAGAGATGTACAGTTCGGCAGAGGCTCACTTGGACTTACCCCTAAAGGTAAAGCTAAAAACGTGCTATGGACTCCAAATCCCATTAAGTTGGCAGGTACCAATGCCATCTTACTAGTTAAAGTGATCAGTTTAAGTTCATAATTGACCATAAAGATAGTATTAAGTGTCAAAGGGATCACATAAATAAGACCAGTGTCTGCTAATAATACTTGATAGAATTAAAAAGGAGAGAACGACTCAACATGGGAAGCAGTATACAGTATACACAGCAGACTCATAGAATGGCAAATGCCCTAAACAGCACTCTGGCCTCAGAATCAGCCCTTAAGGCATTCAGATCTGGCTAAAAAGTTCATGATAGTTTCTCAGGCATGGAAAGCCAAGACACTGTGGCAAAAAATGACCTAACTGAAAGATCACTGTGAGATCCCTGCGGAAACAATGGGCCATCAAAGAAGGAGGTACCTTTCTCTGAAGGGAGGGGAGAATTTCCACTTTGATTATGGTCTTGTCTAAATAAGGTCGGGGTTTGTGAACTCAAGAGGCTTCCATAGCCTTGGCAGCTTATGACAAGCGCCTCAGGTTATTATTGATGTCATAAATGTAAGAATATCAATTGTTAAATCAAAAACAAGAGTCCCTGTGCACTTACTCCCCATGTAGGATCTCTGTGTTTAATGTGTTGTACTATGAGAATTAATGGTAAAAATATTCTTCAAACAGTACTTTATACTTTATGTGTTTGTGTGGGTACAAATTGTTGAAATCTTTACTTAGTATATACTAAGTTGATCTTCTGTATATAAAGATAATTAAAAATAATCTTAATGAAGAATGAGATGGGAGAGGGACTAGCAGGTGGGATGATCTTTGGATCGAAGGGTGGTTATGGGGGGGAAAACAGCTATAACCCAAAAGTTGTACTTTCAAAATTTATATTTATTAAATATAAGTTTTGTAAAAAAAAAAAAACAAAAATTGAATCATAAAAAAATTGAGAAAGAACAGATATTTAGTCTCAAATGATGAAACCTGATTAAAACTAAGTGAAATGTAAAAAAGGAACACTACAGAGGAGAAATGCAACAGACAGCATCAGCAACATCACTAGTCATGGGAGAAATCAAAAGTGTAGGTTACATGACAGTATGCAATGATCACAGAATCCCTTCTGTTATGCCCTTAACAAAAACTGTATAATCCTAACCGAATTATACTGAAATATCAGAAAATATCCAATCAGGGACATTCTGCATGATTGGAATTTAGTCTTCAAAAGATCCATGGTCATTAATGTCAAAGAAAAGGAAGGAACTCCTCCAGACTGAAGAAATCTAAGAAAGGCAACAACTAAAAGAAATTCATGGATCTGAATGGGATTCTCTTATTATCAAGGACATCACAAGACATGTAACAAAACTGGAAAAGAATCTGTGGATACACAGAACAGTGTTAACTTCGTGATTCTGAGTGTTTTATTGTATTTAGTATGTCCTTACTTATAGGAAATATATTCCAAAGTAGTCAGAGCTGATGGCATAATGTCAGCAGATGACTCTCACTTTCTTTAAGAGGGCAAATTATTTGTACTAAAACTTAATTTTTTTTTAATTTTAAGATTGTTTCCTAAAAGGTAATAAAAACTAAAAAGGAAACACAGAAAGCCATAGGTAAACATAACTTCTCCATGAAGAAGGTGTATGAATCAATGCCTAAAGTTAAAATTACATAATTTTGGTAGCACTATAAAATTATATTGCATCCAAGCAATGATATTGACACTGGCCAGAGTATCAGTATACCAAAATGATGTCTATCCAAATCATTAGGTTTGTATGTAGTAGCAAAAATTGGCAAATTCAAAGAAGCCCTTAATTAATCCCACTAAAGTATTCCATTCAACTTGGTTTTCAGGGTGCTGTATAATGGCCACCATTTGGACAACTGAGTTTGTAAAAGTTAATCATACTGGTTTTCATTTGCAAAATCTGTGCTAAGTTAGTTATACATCCCAACAAACAGTTTCATGTGCTGCAACTGGCCTGCCATTGGGAACAGAAGTTAAGATGCCGTTTGAAATATCCTGCATCCCTGGTGGAATCCCTAGCAAGACCAGGTTCCCATCCTGATTCCTAGCTTCCAATAATGTGTGCTCTGGGAAGTGGCGAGTGATAGAACAAGTAATTGGATCCTTGCCACATAAGTAGGATGCCTGAACTGAATTCCTGGATCCTGGCTTCAGCACAGCCCACCTATATTTCACTGCAGATATATGGGTGCTGTACTATTGGAAGGGGGATCTCTCTGTTTTCCCCCTCTTTTCCCCTTTCCCTTTTTCTTGCTCCCTCCCTTACCACTATCTCTGTCTTTCAAAAAATATAAATTGGAAATACAAAATTTCAATTGTAGATACATAACACTAAATGTTTTCAGTTAGTGAGGATTTTCCCACATAATATATTTAAAAAGAAATAACAGGTGTGTTACATAAGCAGTGGTCAGTAAAATTTTATAATATAAAGCATAAGTAAATGGTAAATGTGTTACATAGCAGTGGTCAGTAATTGTAATTCAGAGCATATTTTTTCTTTAAAATGTGTACATATTCTTTTGACATGTTGACTTAAATTGGACTCATTGTTGGCTCCTAGGTCACTTTTTAAGTTCCTCAGTAGCTGGAAAAAAAGAAAGAATTCCATTTTTTAATATCAAACATGTCATAATTAACTGTTTAAATCAGTACAAGGTGATAATTTCAAGAAAAATTTGTATATATTACTAAAGTACAAAATTACCTTTAGATATAATTTGTCTATATTTACACAATGGAATTATTACTGTGAGTTAAATATCAGTGATCCTGTATTTTTCTTCTTTTTCATTCTTTCCTCAGCTTAACAATGTGATTAAAGATGAAGATAATACTGTCCATCTCTAAATAATCATATGCTATGTCTAAAAATATAGATGAAGGGGCAGCACTATGGCAGAGAGGGTAAAGCCACCACATCCCATATGGGCACCAGCTCAAGTCCCAGCTGCTCCACTTCTGAACCAGCTCTCTACTATGCCTGGGAAAGCAGTAGAAGATGACCCAAGTCCTTGGGCCCCAGCACCCAACATGGGAAGACCCAGAGGAAACTCCTGGCTCCAGCCATTATGGCCAGTTGGGGAGGGAACCAGTGGATGGAAGACCTCTCTCTCTCTCTCTCTCTCTCTCTCTCTCTCTCTCTACCTCCCTTTCTGTGTGGAACTGTAACTTTTAAATAAATAAATACATCTTTAAAAAATATAGATGAGGAGGCAACTTCCCTATGGGGATAGGAATAAATTATGGCACTATCACCACACACACAGAAGAGAAATTGTTTCTAATTTTATGTCATTACTGTAGGTTTTTTTAGTGGCAGTGGCATGGAAGTCGACATCCACAGTACAAGGAAATAGTATACCTGATAGATGGAAAGCAGACTGAATGCAAAGAGATAGAGCTCAGGAAGAGAACTTGTGGTATCATAAGTAGGCTGGTTTGTCTTGACAAACAAACGGAGTTGTGCTTTTGTTCCTTGCTAAGGATTTTGGAAACTTTCTTGAGGGTAAAAGTAAATGAGCCCAGATGTTAAGTGCTACTGTCAAGCAGCTGCTTTGTACTGTCATTGCTTGACTGGCTATGACAAGGACTTGAGATGGCCCTTATGTCACTATGACGCACTTGAGAAGCTGATGATGCCACTGTCTTCTGAAAACAGCTTTCGTATGTAGGCTGACAGTATCACAGAGACAGCAAGAGCATACAAAGTGTAGAGTCAGAAAAAGAGAGGCCCATAAACCTTTTTGAGATATTTTCTAAGCTATGGGATATGAAGACTATATAATAAATATATTCCTCATTATAATGTTCACATAGTTCACATAGTTCATTAGCTTTATGTAAAGTAGTGAACCAAAAATAAAAAGGGATGCCACTTGCTACTTACAGTTTGTCATAAATCAATGCTTTCACAAAATTTGACAACATACCTCCATCTCATTTGCTACTTAAAATTGTGTTGTGCTTTCCACATCTGAAACAAGGCAAATTTTATGTATAATATTTAAGTTAAACTAGTTATATTATCACGGGAATAAACTATCAGTTAAAAATATGGTCCTTAATTCTTTTAGAGACTAGACCAAACTTGAAGATGGCTTAAATAGAAAAACAGTCACATATATTAAACAAAATTCCTAGTGATTTTATGTTAACCTAATAGGAAAATATGATTAAAAAGTACACTAAGCATTAATCTGTTTCATACACATTATTTTAGAAGGGTGGCATTTAATTAGTACAAAGGTTAAAACAAGTCAAGTCAGGTTTTACAATAAATGAATGAACTAGAACAACTCTGTACTTTATAAAAGATGACTTTTTCACTTTCATGTGTTTCCATAAACTGAATTTTCCATTACCCACTTCTAGAAAAACAAATTTTAAAGTATTCCATGGTATTTTCATCATGGAATATTAAGCAAATAAGTAAAGAAAGAGGTATTGTCATAATGTCATGTAAAAATTCTACTGGGAAAATATTAGATAAAAAAACATCTTGTGTATATTATAACACAACAGTACTGTATTCATATAGACATGAGTATTCAGAAAATTTGAGAACTAATTTTCAAATTCAATTGTTAGATGCATGACTTTCTAGAATGAGAAATAAGGAAACCAATGTGTAACTCTTTAATTTTCATTTCTTTTAGGAAGCTAGCATTGGGGCATGCATTGTAGACCAGCAAGGTAAGCAGCTTCTCTGAAGCCAGCATCCTATATTAACGCATCGACTGCTCCGCTTTCTTTTTTTTTTTTTACTTTTATTTAGTAAATATAAATTTCCAAAGTAGTTTATGGATTACAATGGCTTCCCCCCCCCATAATTTCCCTCCCATCGCACCCCTCCCATCTCCCACTCCCTCTCCCATTCCATTCACATCAAGATTCATTTTCAATTCTCTTCATATACAGAAGGTCGATTTAGTATATATTAAGTAAAGATTTCATCAGTTTGCACCCACACAGCAACACAAAGTGTAAAATACTATTTCAGTACTAGTTATAGCGTTACTTCACATTGGACAACAAACTAAGGACAGATCCCACATGAGAAGTAAGTACACAGTGACTCCTGTTGTTGACTTAACAATGTGACACTCTTGTTTATGGCATCAGTAATCTCCCTAGGCTCTAGTCATGAGTTTCCAAGGCCATGGAAGCCTTTTGGCTTTGCCGACTTTGATCTTATTCTGACAGGGTCATAGTCAAAGTGGAAGTTCTCTCCTCCCTTCAGAGAAAGCTACCTCCTCCTTTGATGGCCTGTTCTTTCTACTGGGATCTCACTCGCAGAGATCTTTCATTTAGGTCTTTTTTTTCCACAGTGTCTTGGCTTTCCATGCCTAAAATACTCTCATAGGCTCTTCAGCCATATCCGAATGCCTTAAGGGCTGATTCTGAGGCCAGAGTGCTGTTTAGGACATCTGCACTTCTATGAGTCTGCTGTGTATCCTGCTTCCCATGTTGGATCATTCTCTCCCTTTTTGATTCTACCAGTTAGTATTAGCAGACACTAGTCTTGTTTGTGTGATCCCTTTGACTCTTAGACCTATCAGTGTGATCAATTGTGAACTGAAATTGATCACTGGGACTAGTGAGGTGGCATTGGTACATGCCACCTTGATGGGATTGTATTGGAATCCCCTGGCATGTTTCTAACTCCACCATTTCTGGCAAGTCCGATTTCAGCTCTCTGATAATCCACCTGGGAAAGCAGCAAAAGATGCCCCGAGTGTTTGGGCCCCTGACACCCATGTGGGAGACCTGGGTGGAATTCCAGGCTCTGGCTTTGGCCAGGCCCAGCCCTGTCCATTGTGTCCATTTGGGGAGTGAATAATCAAATGAAGACCTCTCTGTCTCTCCCTCCCTCTATCTCTGCCTTTAAAATAAATGTCGTAAAAATGTAGTCAAATTTTGAAACATTTGTTTTTTAAGTTTGATCATAATTTAAAAAAATTATTTAATATAAACACATTTGTACAATTCACAAATACAGTTCTATGAAGTTATTAATTCTAATTACCCACTTAATTTTGAAATGTGAAGAAACATTTCAAAATATATTGCAGCTGTCTCTAGAATATTCTTACTTAAATATTTTATATAAAAGTTATTATCTAATAAAATATCCCAACAGGCTTTAAATACTCCTACACATGACATAATAAACAGTTCATGGAGATCATGATAAAGTAATATAAATACCTTCATTCTGGCATGAAGGCAAATTTTCTTGACTCCTATATTTTTCAATGATCTGAAAACATCTTTCCCATAAAGTTGAGGTGTCAAGATCCTGAAGGGCAAACTTTAGAAATTGAACAATGTGTCAACAGCATCACCAAGTAGAATATGGGGGGAAAATAACTCACTACAATATGTTGGAAAGAACAGTTACTGGTAGAATCTTATGTTATCATAAATAAAAATTACATAAAGTATAAATCACATTCTTACATAATTTGAATGAAGGAACTACCAATGTAATATTATTTTCCTCAATAGTTCTCCTATATATATATTTCCTATGTATAATAGATGATATTATCTTATATTACACTCAAAAATATTTAATAGTATACGTTTTACATAGAAAAATGAGATGCCCTTCTTGAAAAGTTCCTTAATTTCATGTTAAAGAAACCGTAACTTTATAGAGAACATTTTGTAAAGCAATTTCAGCAAGATCATATGTGTTTTTAGATGACATGATTTATGTGGACAAACCTAAACACTCCACCAAAAAGCTGTTAGAATTGATAAACCAATTCAGTAAAGTTGCTAGTTAAAATATAAATATACAAAATCAAGTGCTTTTTCTAGGTTAATGATGAACTCACAGAAAAAGAAATCAAGAAAGAAATTTTATTCACTGTCAAAAAAGAAAAAAGAAATTTCATTCACAATAGGCACCAAAAAATCAACTGTTTAGGAATAAATTGAACCAAAGAAGTGAAAGGTTTATACAATGAAAAGTCTCAAACATTCAAGAAGAGGTCATTAAGGGCTGCAAAAAAATGGAAAGATACCACTTGCTCATGGATTGAAAGATTCAAAATCAGAATATGTTGGGAGGCAAGATGGCAGAATAGGAAGGGAGCACACTGATAGTCCGGGGAGAGACAGTTTAATAAAAGTGGAGATACTGCAGGTTCAAGGAAGAGTAGGGGAGGAAACAGCAGAAGAAACTCTTCCGGAATGCGTGATTCACAGTGGACCTGCATGGAGAGCGTGGGAGCCCACAGTTCGGGACACCAGCGGCAGACTCAACACACCAGCACTGGAACGCGAGCTGTGTGGAATTACTTCCCTTTTGAATCAAAAAAAGAAAGAGAGAGAGAGAGAGAGAGAGAGAGAGAGAGAGAGAGAGAGAGATATCTACCACGCCTAACCTGGGAGTGTCACCTTTGGCACACCAAACAGAGCTCTCAGGCCACACCCATCTCAAGCCTCTAAGGCTCCATCAAAAACAGACAGTCCACTTAATCTAGAGTCATAGTATAACAAGAAAAAGCACCACAGTGAAGAAACCAAATATCTCCAATATGCCAAATAACAAACGCAAAAACCAAGGTAATAAAAACAAGGAAGTCACCATGACGACCCCAAATGAAAAAGACACCCCAATTCAAGATTATGAAGATGATGAGTTAGAAGAAATGCAAGAAGCAGATCTCAAAATATTGATAAGAACATTAAGAAGTTCTCAAAAACAAATTCTTGAACTACAGAAATCCTTAATGGACAAGATAGAAAATCTCTCTCGTGAAAATGAAATATTAAGGAGGAATCAAAATGAAACGAAACAACTAGTACAACAGGAAACTGTGATAGTGACGAGAAATCATAATGAAGTGAAGAATTCAATAGATCAAATGAAAAACACAATAGAGAGCCTTACAAACAGAATGGGTGAAGCAGAAGAGAGAATATCGGACTTAGAAGACAGAGAACAAGAAGGGATACAGTCAGACCAAAGAAAAGAAGAGGAAATTAGAAATCTAAAACATATTGTCAGGAATCTGCAGGATACTATTAAAAAACCCAACATTCGGGTTCTAGGAGTTCCTGAAGGCATGGAGAGGGAGAAAGGATTAGAAGGCCTTTTTAGTGAGATATTAGCAGAAAATTTCCCAGGTTTGGAGAAGGACAGAGAAATCCTAGTACAGGAAGCTCACAGAGCCCCTAATAAACACGACCAAAAGAGATCCTCACCACGACATGTTGTAATTAAACTCTCCACAGTGAAACATAAAGAAAAGATCCTAAAATGTGCAAGAGAGAAACGTCAGATTACTCTCAGAGGATCTCCAATCAGACTCACAGCTGACTTCTCATCAGAAACACTACAAGCTAGGAGGGAATGGCAAGATATAGCCCAGGTACTAAGAGAGAACAACTTCCAGCCCAGAATATTATATCCTGCAAAGCTCTCATTTGTGAATGAAGGTGAAATAAAGACTTTTCATAACAAACAGAAATTGAAAGAATTTGTCGCCACTCATCCAGCCCTGCAAAAGATGCTTAAAGATGTGTTACACACAGAAACACAGAAACACGGTCATCAATATGAAAGAAGGTAAAGGAAGGAAACCTCACAGCAAAAGATCACAGGGAATTCAAAGCATATATTACAACTTATCTTTGGCAAATGGCAGGACAAAGTTACCACTTATCAATAGTCACATTGAACATTAATGGCCTGAACTGTCCAGTTAAAAGACACAGATTGGCTGATTGGGTTAAGGAACAAAACCCATCTATTTGCTGCTTACAAGAAACACATCTTTCCAACAAAGATGCATACAGACTGAAAATGAAAGGCTGGAAAAAGATATACCATGCCAACCAAAATGAAAAATGAGCAGGCGTAGCCATCTTAATATCGGACAACATAAACTTTACCACAAAAACTGTTAAGAAAGACAAAGAGGGACACTATATAATGATTAAGGGATCAATACAACAAGAAGATATAACAATTATCAATGTATGTGCACCTAACTACAGGGCACCGGTTTATCTAAAAGATTTGTTAAGGGACTTAAAGGGAGACTTAGACCCCAATCCAGTAGTACTGGGGGACTTCAATACTCCACTCTCAGAAATAGACAGATCAACAGGACAGAAGATCAACAAGGATACAGTAGATTTAAATGACACTATAGCCCAAATGGATCTAACAGATATCTACAGAACTTTCAATCCTACAGCTAAAGATTTTACATTCTTCTCAGCAGTACACGGAACCTTCTCTAGGATTGACCACATACTAGGCCATAAAGCAAGTCTCAGCAAATTCAAAAGAATTAGAATTATACCATGCAGCTTCTCAGACCATAAAGGAATGAAGCTGGAAATTAGCAACTCAGGAATCCCTAGAGCATACGCAAACACATGGAGATTGAACAACATGCTCCTGAATGAACAATGGGTCATAGAAGAAATTAAAAGAGAAATCAAAAATTTTCTGGAAGTAAATGAGGATAACAGCACAACATACCAAAATTTATGGGATGCAGAAAAAGCAGTGTTAAGAGGAAAGTTTATATCAATAGATGCCTACATCAAGAAATTGGAAAGGCACCAAATAGATGAGCTTTCTATTCACCTCAAGGATCTAGAAAACCTACAGCAAACCAGACCCAAATCTAGTAGGAGAAGAGAAATAATTAAAATCAGAGAAGAAATCAACAGGATTCAATAAAAAAAAAATTACAAAAAATCAGCCAAACAAGGAGCTCGTTTTTTGAAAAGATAAACAAAATTGACACCCCATTGGCCCAACTAACCAAAAAAAGAAAAGACCCAAATCAATAAAATCAGAGATGAAAAAGGAAACATAACAACAGACACCACAGAAATAAAAAGAATCATCAGAAATTACTACAAGGACTTGTATGCCAACAAACAGGGAAATCTATCAGAAATGGATAGATTCCTGGACACATGCAACCTACCTAAATTGAACCAGGAAGACATCGAAAACCTAAACAGACCCATAACTGAGACAGAAATTGAAACAGTAATAAAGGCCCTCCCAAAAAAGAAAAGCCCAGGACCAGATGGATTCACTGCTGAATTCTACCAGACATTTAAAGAAGAACTAACTCCAATTCTTCTCAAACTATTCAGAACAACTGAAGAAGAGGGAATCCTCCCAAATTCTTTCTATGAAGCCAGCATCACCTTAATTCCTAAGCTGGAAAAAGATGCAGCATTGAAAGAGAACTACAGACCAATATCCCTGATGAACATAGATGCAAAAATCCTCAATAAAATTCTGGCCAATAGAATGCAACAACACATCAGAAAGATCATCCACCCAGACCAAGTGGGATTTATCCCTGGTATGCAGGGATGCTTTAATGTGCGCAAAACAATCAATGTGATACACCACATTAACAGACTGCAGAAGAAAAACCATATGATTATCTCAATAGACGCCGAGATAGCATTTGATAAAATACAACACCCGTTCATGATGAAAACTCTAAGCAAACTGGGTTTGGAAGGAACATTCCTCAATACAATCAAAGCAATCTATGAAAAACCCATGGCCAACATCCTATTGAATGGGGAAAAGTTGGAAGCATTTCCACTGAGATCTGGGACCAGACAGGGATGCCCACTCTCACCACTGCTATTCAATATAGTTCTGGAGGTTCTAGCCAGAGCTATTAGGCAAGAAAAAGAAATTAAAGGGATACAAATTGGGAAGGAAGAACTCAAACTATCCCTCTTTGCAGATGACATGATTCTTTATTTAGGGGACCCAAAGAACTCTACTAAGAGACTGTTGGAACTCATAGAAGATTTTGGCAAAGTAGCAGGGTATAAAATCAATGCACAAAAATCAACAGCCTTTGTATACACAGGCAATGCCATGGCTGAGGAAGAACTTCTAAGATCAATCCCATTCACAATAGCTACAAAAACAATCAAATACCTTGGAATAAACTTAACCAAGGACGTTAAGGATCTCTACGATGAGAATTACAAAACCTTAAAGAAATAAATAGAAGAGGATACCAAGAAATGGAAAAATCTTCCATGCTCATGGATTGGAAGAATCAATATCATCAAAATGTCCATTCTCCCAAAAGCAATTTATAAATTCAATGCAATACCAATCAAGATACCAAAGACCTTCTTCTCAGATCTGGAAAAAATGATGCTGAAATTCATATGGAGACACAGGAGACCTCGAATAGCTAAAACAATCTTGTACAACAAAAACAAAGCCGGAGGCATCACAATACCAGCTTTCAGGGCATTCTACAGGGCAGTTGTAATCAAAACAGCATG